TGTTGGTTGGAATGTTTTATAGATTAGATATCTGTTAGGTCAAGTTGGTTTATTGTGTTGTTCAAGTCTCCTTTTCCTTGTTGATCTTCTGCCTAGTCGTTTTATCCATTACTGAAAGTGGGGTATTGAAGTAACCAACTATTGTTGTTGAACTGTTTATTTTTCCCTTCAATTCTGCAAGTTTTGCTTCATATATTTTGGGACTCTGCTGTTATGTGCATATGTTTATAATTTTATATCTTCCTAATGAAGTCACCCTTTTATCATTATAAAATAGCTTTATCTCTAGTAACAATTTTTATCTTAAAATCTGTTTTGTGTAGCCTGTATTAGTATAATATAGGCACCCCAGTTCTCTCTTGGTTACCATTTGCATGGAATATCTTCTGTCCTTTCCCTTTCAACCTATTTGTGTCTTTAAATAAGAAGTGTGTTTTTGTAGACACAATAGTGTTGGACTTTTTAAAAATACATACAGTACTTCTACTTTCTGCCTTCTGATTGGAGCGTTAATTACATTTAATGCAATTACTAAGGTAGGGTTTACATCTGCCATTTTGTTGTTCTTTCTCACCATCCATTCCTGCCTTCTTCTGTGTTAAACATGTATTTTCTAATATATTATTTTAATTATCTTGTCTCTTTTACTGTATATTTTTGAGCTATCTTCTTCATGGTTACTCTGGAGATTACAACTAACATCTTAATTTAAAACTATCTAGTTTAGATTAATACCAACTTAATTTCTCCATCTTTTGGGCAGGCTGGCCTGAGAGAAAAGAGGGGCAGGCCACACATAGGAATGGTGTGATGGGTTAAATGCTGACCCACAAAATAATATGGACATGTCCTAATCCCTGGAACTTGTGAATGTGACTTTATTTGGAAAAAGTCTTTACAGATATAATTAAGGATCTCAAGATGAAATAATCCTGGATTATCTGGGAAGGCCCTGAATCCTATGACAAGTGTCGTTAAAAGTAAAAGAAAGGAGAGACACAGGGAAAGGGGAGAGGCCATGTTAAGGAAGCAGGGACTGGAGTTATGTAGCCACAATCCAAGAAACAACTGGAGCCACCACAAGCTGGAAGAGGCAAAGAAGGATTCTCCTTAAGAGTCTTTGAGGGAATGTAGCCCTAACACCACCTTGATTTTGGACTTCCAGCCTCCAGACCTATGAAAGAATAAATTTCTGCTGTTTTAAGCCAGGCAGTTTATGGCTTAAACTAATACAAACAGTGACCTTCAATCTTTTAGAGGGGTTGTGCCAGTGGATGGCAGAGTCTGGTCTTCTCATCCATGAAACATTTCACTTTACTTGGGGTAGGCTGCAAATCTGACGCTTTTTTCTAATACTTCTGAGAAGGTGGAAGAAATTCTCATTTAATGGGTTATAATGGGATCACTAGGACGAGAAAAATAGGAATTTCCCCCACCCCTTGGCTTCAACCACAATTTTTATGACAAACTTCTGCCCCGTATATGTTCTAAACTTCTTTTGCGTAATCCTGTTTTTCTTCCTTGTAAACTCTTTTTAAGGCTATTTTTCACCACTTATTGCTTAGGGAGTTTTGGTTTGTGTATTTTCAGCTCATATTTTATCATGCATACACACAATTGTATCTCCTACGCTTTTTACATAACATTACAATGCCCTTACGTACATTTAAAAAGCACCTTTTCTCATTTCTAAAATACCAAATGATTTTTGAGATTTCTAATTACTTTTGATGAAAACCAATACAAAGTATTTCTTCCTCTGATTAAACACAAATGATATATTTTTAAAATTTCCTGTATATGATATAGAAATATATTCTGAGAAAAACATGACTTCACTGTATAAATAAAATTTAAAATATACGCTATAATACTCTTTTATTAGAGGCAGTAAAATGTAGGATTAACAACATTGGAGTTAGACTACTTTCAAACCCCAGCTTAAAACTCAAAACATGTGACCTAGGGCAGGTGACAGAAATCTTGCTTTAGCTCTCTAATCTCCAGCACTGTGGTGAGTGCACACATGAACTGCTTACAACAATGCCTGGCACAGGGACTTCCCTGGTGGCCAGTGGTTAAGAATCCGCCTGCCAATTCAGGGGACACGGGTTCGAGCCCTGGCCTGGGAAGATCCCACATGCCGTGGAGCAACCAAGCCCGTGAGCCACAACTACTGAGCCTGCGCTCTAGAGCCCGTGCTGTGCAACAAGAGAAGCCATGACGATGAGAATCCCGCACACCTCAATGAAGAGTATCCCCCACTCGCTGCAAGTAGAGAAAGCCCGTGCACAGCAACAAAACCCAACACAGCCAAAGGAACAAACAAACAAACAAAAAAACAAAAATCGAAAACGAAAAAAAAATGATAGGTAGCATTTATTGAACACTTACTCAGGAGACTATTTCAGTTTTCTGCCATACCCCTAGGGGTGAGTGCCAGCTCTCCTAGGGTTTGTGACATGTAGATGGAAAAGTCTGAGAAGTGTTATTTACCTCAGTTCTGTATATCTGGTGTCTAGTAATCTGCCTGATGCAGAGTTGAACCTCAGTAAAGGCTTGTGGAAAATCGCTCCTGCTCTCTGTGCTGGAACATCCTTTCTTCCCTCCCTGCCTGGTGAACTCTTATTGGTCCCTCAATACCCAGGTTAAATGTCACCTCCACTGTGAAATGTGACTGTCTTCTCTGGCTCCCACAGTCCCTGGACTTCTTCAGACCTAGCACTAAGCCCCTTGATTTGAGGCTTCTGGCCTCTAGAGCTGTGAAAGAACAACTTTCAGTTGTTTTAAACTAGCCAGTTTGTAGTAATTTGATACAGCAGCCTCAGGAAACTAATACAGCTTGGAAACAGACAAATGTTTTCTGTGAAATTCCACCAGATCTTGGAACCAGGTATTTGGGATTTCTCAATTACTCCCTTCTCAGCAAACACCTGACTGCACACCCTAGGCTCTAGCCATGAGGAACTACTCAATGTTTCAGAATAGGAGATGGTGTGACATACATCTTAGCCAGCTCTGGGATCAGATCCAAAGTGTCTTCAGGCTTCTGAATACCCTAGATAGTATGCTTACCTTTTATTAAAATATTTTTAGTGCAATTATTATATACCCAGGTCCTGCACTGGGCACTATACTTAACATTAATTTACTTAATCCCCACAGCAACCTTGTTACTATTTTACAGATGGGAAAACTAAAGCTGAGAGAGGGAAATTGGCTTGCCTAGGAACATATAACTAGAAGGTGGCAGAGCCAAGATTCCAAAAGTTCCTGATTCCTGTTGTGTCTGACTCTAAAACACTGTGTTCTTTCTGCTAGGTCAGTCCAGGTGGTGGAGAAATTCAGTCTAAGGGGGGAAAAAGGCAGATCATTATTCTTCATAACGACTCAATGATAGTTATTACAGAAGCAATTGCTATAAATGCTATCATTATGATCAAGGAGGTCTTCATGGAAGTGGCATTGGAACTGTGCCTTCACTTCAAAAACACATGTCCTGATTCTCTGAGAGTCACCGGGAATCCAGAGATGAATCAGACAAGGTTCTTTTGCTTGAGAAATTCAGTGTGTAAGTTTGTGTGTTTGCAGGAGGGGTATTTGTGGCTGCACATGTGTGTTACAAACTTATTAAAAGACAGTAGAATGCAATAGAATAATCAGGAATGTAGTAGAGGCAAGTTTCCTAACTCAGGGTCCCAGAGTGTATCTGAGAAGCCTTTTGGGATCCCAACCCCAGATTTGACGGGTAAGTAAACATTAGTCAGGAGGAGAAAAGTAGCAAAGGCTTTTCAAGAACAGCATAAACACCCCACTCACAGAAGTGAAACAGTGTCCCGAAGTGCCTGGCTCAGCCTACCAGTTAGTGAAGTGTGAGGAGGGGCGGGGACTTGTGGGTTGGAACTGGTCGTGGGTGGAGCTGGCAGGACTGCCCGACAAGTTTCTGGTCTTGGTGCATCCTGCGTGGTGGCTTTCTGTCGAACCATCCTCACACGTTGACGAGAGTCCCTCAGGAAAAGATTACTCTGGGAAACTGCAACTACAGACCGGCCACCACGACCCAGCTGGCGCCAAATGCGTCCCCGCCCTCCAAGGGAGACCGGTTACCATGGCAACTAGGTCAGGGCGGAAGTGGCTCCCAAAACTGACTCTCACTAATCAGGTGACTCTCCTGCCTTCTGCACGTGACACCAGAGGCCAGGCGCAAAGTCTACCTAATCAGACTCCGCCCCTCTTTTCCTTTACTGACAACTGACAGCGACCTCGAGCAATGGTCCTTGCGGCTCCCCCAGGAGACCCCGCCCCGTGGTAGTGGAAGAAACCAATTAGACTGGGAAAAAATGAAGCCTCGCCCCAGGTTTTACCTCCCATTGACAGACGCAATTTAGGCCATCCCTGGGTTCCTCCGCCCCCAGCCTGTTCCTGCCGGCGATAGACAGACCTTCTGCCCAATAGCGCGTCCGTTTTCTGTCATTGGGTCCCGCCCCCGTGGGAGCTGAACCAATGGGCAAGCCAGGTCTCAGAGGGTGGTGGGGGTTGCACTGCGGTAATATGGCTCTTCCTTAGCCAGCGGCG